AAAAATGGGGGAAAGTATTGGAAAAATGAGGGAAAGTATGGGAAAAATGGGGGAAAAAAAGGAAAAATTAGGAAAAAAAACAACAGAAAAAAGGGGGGAAAGTATGGGAAAAAAAGGGGAAAAAATGGAAAAATCAGGAAAAAAATGGGGGAAAATGGGGAAAAAATGGTTTAAAAAACGAGGAAAAAAGGGAAAAATTAGGGAAAAAAACAGGGAAAAAATAGGGGAAAGTATGGGAAAAATGGGGGGAAAATGGAAAATTAGGAAAAAAAACGGGGGAAGAAGGGGGAAAGTATGGGAAAAATGGGGAAAAAATGGAAAAATTAGGGAAAAAATTGGGGGAAATGCAGAAAAAATGAGGGAAAGTATGGGGAAAATGGGGAAAAAATGGAAAAATTAGGGAAAAAAACGGGGAAAATGGGGAGGGAAACAGGGGGAAAAAATGGGGGAAAAAGAGGGAAAAGTGGGGGGAAAAGTGGGGGGGAAAAGTGGGGGAAAATGGGGGGAAATGGGGAAAAATGGTGCTCCAGTTACACCCCATGCTGGCCACACCCCCACCCCACATCCAAACCCCTCATTTGCATAAAGGGGCGTGGCCTGTTAGAACCACGCATCGTTTGGCCACACCCCAGCCCACATATAATCCCCTCATTTGCATAAAAGGGTGTGGCTTGTTATAATTATGCCTCATTTGGCCACACCCACACCCCCAGCTAATGTCATCATTTGCATAAAGGGGCGTGGTTTGTTATAAGAATGCTCCTTTGGCCACACCCCAACCCCCACACAAACCCTCATTTGCATAAAGGGGTGTGGCTTGTTATAATCACGCCTTGTTTGGCCACACCCCCAACCCACATACAACCCCCTCATTTGCATAAAAGCGTACAGCTTGTTATAACCACGCCTCCTTTGGCCACGCCCCTCATTTGCATGAGGGGCGTGTCCGGCACTCACCGCCCCCTGGCGGCTCCAGGCTGTCGGGGAATTTGTCCGGGCGGGGCTGGGGCGGGGCCGGGGGCGGAGCTGGGGGAGGGGACAGCGGGGACACCCATGGGTGACACTGGGACACCCGTGGGTGACACTGGGACACCCGTGGGTGACACCGGGACACCTGTGGGTGACACTGGGACACCCGTGGGTGACACCGGGGACACCCGTGGGTGACACTGGGACACCCGTGGGTGACACTGGGACACCCACGGGTGACACCGGGACACCCACGGGTCACAGCGGGGACACCCACGGGTGACACCGGGACACCCACGGGTGACACCGGGACACCTGCAACAACCACAGCCGTCCCCAAATCCCCCCTTCCCACCACCCCAAAACCCCCAAATTCTCCCCAAATGCCCCAAATTTTCCCCAAAATTCCCCCCAAA